GTTTTGAGGATTAAAATGAGTGGTAAAAGACTTAGTATCACAGCCATGATTTAGCCTTTATTTTTATTGAACTGTATCAAATCGATTTGAAATATACAGTATAAAATCGAAAGTACACCGTATTGAGACATGTATCGTATCGTGGCTATCATGGTATGTATTGTATTGCCAACTTGTTAATGCCTTAGTGCTGAGGGGTCAAACATTCACAGAGTTGTAAATTACAGTAAAACTAGAGTTTAGTGTTTCAAACTGAACACAGAATTTGGTGACTGAATTGAATTTGATATAACTGCCACAAATCACTAATCACCATCATTTGAGTTTCATCCAATTAAGATGGTTTAACTGGGATCAGCTTTAGTGAATACAGACAGATGAGAGCATGACAATAGCGCCCTCTCGTGGAGTAATGGAGAAGGCATAGCTCACCTGACTCAAAGGCTCATTGGTTCAGAGTGCATTGTGTTTCCTGGTCCTGCTCTAGTTTAATCAGAAACACAACAAAACATTAGAGTACAGTAGTTCATGTCAAAAATAGTTTATTCGTACTGATATTTTGGCATATGGACAGTTTGGCCTTGTATCTGCTACTCCCCTGTGACAGAGATGAGGGCTGCCATGCATTTCACAGCCGCATACATTTACATTAGAGTTTAAAGATTACATGAAATACATTCTGAACAACAGTCTCCACCAATTCTCCAAAACAGTCATTTCAGCAGCTCATCTTCACTTACACACTTCTTATTTAGGCTACATTTAGCAAATCAGGTCATGAAACAGTCAAATACATACTTAGAATATAGGGATGGATTATCCTGCGTATTTGTTCTCAAGCAGAGGGCTGCATCGGTACGGCACTGTTTGATTTGGCACAAGAATGCAACTTTGTCCTTGAGCAAGACACTTCAGCCACTTTACATACTATTGTGGACTACGTAACTTTGCAGTGGACGGTCCACTACCTACCTGCTTGTTTCTATGGAGGGGATATTGCTTTGTCTTGAATGTTACTCAGTATGGCATAAAACCTCTCTGCATCTCTATAGCCCAATACAGGTCAGATCTGTGGAGCGGAGTAGAAGATTGCCTACTTTTCAGTATTTGAGTAATAAAAACAATTATAATGAATTAAAAAAAGCAAAATACAAAATTTTAATGCCATACCTTGGAACATTCCAGAAAGAAATAAAAAGGTCTCCATGAAGACAAACGTGTGTTAGCCTCCCTAACCAGAAAAGTTACTTAGTGTACCTTTAATTATGACTATGAGCCTTTAGAGTGTGTGTCCATTATTCATCAAAATGTTTTAAGAGGCACTATTTGCATTCGCAGTTTGCATTGTGGCATTTTTATTATGAAAACAGAAGTGCTGTACCGACTCCATCCTTTCTAGAGTTTGGCTCATATTTAGTTGAAATGAGGAGATCTGAGTCCATATTTACAGTATAAGGCTACTTAGGTTATGTTTGACTTCATGTTTTGGTGATGATGTGAGTCTTTGGAGTCTACAGAATCAATTTGAGTAGCCTATATTTATTATTCATTTATTATTTGTTTTGAACTGAGATAAATGTTTTTATCCAGGAAAAAAGCAAGATAGGGTGTACACCACAGACTGCATAAACAGTATCTGGTCTATACTTGTGATAATGTGTTAAATTCAAATGTGGATTAAAGGTTAAATTGTCAACATACAAATTTACCTGGTTAATAGTTAATATTTCTAGAACAATTTTATCCCTATAATGGCAAAAAGTCTAAAGAGTAAACAAATGCTTGACAGCTTGAAGCTACAAGATTTATAAAGTTAGTTAAGCAAAACTATAACCAAAAAGTCCAAAATGTGTTAATCTCTCAGTTTGACGGCTCTCTCTCTCTGACACCTCATCTCAGATTTTGACATCATCAAATGAAATTCTGAGCAGCCTCCCCCAGCCTGAACGGCATCCTCACTTCTCTTCCTCACTTCTCTTCTCCTTTGTCCCTCTTCCTTGTTTTAGTGCCATGTCTGACATGTCTCCGCGCGTGCACCTTCATCACTGCTTTTTCTTCTTCTGCTTGAGAGACTTCCGCCTCTTTACGATCATCTCGTACAGTTTATCCATGCCCTCATGCAGGCCCTCCCCGATGATGGCGCAAGCGGGCTGGACGTGGTACGGCGTGCCCGGGTTCAACTCCCCCAGTGCCAACTGCCTCTCAATCTCTCCCACGTCTAGAGCCTTGGGCAGGTCCTGCTTGTTGGCTATGACCAGCAGCGGCGTGCCCTGGTTCTCCGAGAAACGTGTGATCTTGTGCAGCTCCGTGCGCGCCTCCTCCAGCCTCTCCGCGTCCACCGAGTCTACCACGTACACGATCCCGTCAGTGCACCGGCTGTATGGCTTCCACAGCGGCCGCAGCTTCTCTTGGCCCCCAACGTCCCAGAAGTGGCAGCTGATCCCCCTGGAGGCCCCTGCGCCCCCCAGGCGGATGCGCTCGGTGTTGAAGCCGATGGTGGGCACCGTGTTGACGAACTCGTTGAATTTGAGCCTATACAGCACGGTGGTTTTGCCCGCAGAGTCCAGACCGAGCATGACTATGTGCAAAGACTGGAACGCGGCCAGATTGGAGAAACTATTCCCCATTTTGGAAGTCTGTAAAAAATAACATTGATTTGTCGTAGCGTTATCAACCACGGCGTGGCATTCTTCCCTTTACGCGCAGTCAGTCCAAATGTAATCCACAAAACGCATTTGTTTAGCGATTCATGAGACGTAAAGGGCGGTATAGTCCAGGAGCCAGACACGCCGCAGAAGCAACAGCATCATCCCGGGCTCACCACCCAAACAGCGACGGAGGGGGTACGGAGCATCACAGCGTAAACGGAGATGTTAGTAAAAAGAGGATTTAGCAAAGCTCACGGTTACAAAGTCAGTGCGCGGTCACTCACATGCTGCACGCACGCACGCACGCACGCACGCACGCACGCACGCACGCACACACACACACACACACACACACACACACACACACACACACACACACACACACACACGATATGCACGCACACGCAGGCCCGATGGAGGTGTGTAACATGCTCCCGCAGAACGGTGCCATGCAGGTGCGTAAAGACGCACAGGAAACCATCATAAACCACTTCCTAACAATACAGAGCCTGTTAAAGTAAAGGCAACAGGGAATACTCTCCACACAGATCAGGAGTCTAATCCACAACCTACTTACAGAGAGGAGGAGACGGGTTAACCACTCTGCCACAGTAACACAGGGAGGACGTGTTGTGGGTTAAACTGATCTCTCAGAGATCAGGAGTATAACCACAACCTCCTTACGGAGGAGACATGACGAGCTCCCTCTTTGCACACATAAAACTAAAGCAACAGGGTGTATCAGATAGTTGGAAAGATAACAAAACACACATATAGGTGTCTTGCCCATAGACACAGCATCAGTATAATGTCATTAGTGGGAATCATGTGGGAATTAGATATTAACACTGATGAACTATGTACATGATAGGCTACATTAGAATTGCAGTCAGATGAGTATAGTCCTGTTGTTTTATTGTGAAAGGGCACTGCTGGTTGGGTTCCTCTGCGCCTCAGCTGCACACTGGTGATCTACAGCTCTGTTTTCATGTGTCTCTCACTGTTATTGGTCCAAACACGTGTGGCTCTGAGCAGACCACACAAGAGTCAGCAAAGCAAATGGCACAGCAGAAATAACGCAATAAAGATTTTTAGAACTGAGCTGGTGTTTACAATGAACAGGCTTTTGATAAAGCTCTTTGATGTCTGGAGAAGTAAGTAAAAATGTTTGTTTATTGTTTAATGAGTACATAGTAGGTACTAATATTTTTCATGTTAACAGTAATAGAACAATAGACGAACTAAACAAATGTACATCTTAAATATCTAACCGTACACATCATTTAAATAAAATATTGTGAGAGAACATAGTGAAACAGCAGCAAAAAGTATTCTAACTGTTCTCTATTGATACAAATTGCTTTATAGTTGTATAATCTCAGTACAGAGTAGACAAAATAATTTTAGTAATAGACTGCATTCGCCTAATTGAATTTTCGGATGGAGAGCAGTTATGTAACTCTCTGTAATAGAAAAAAAAAAAAAAAAAAAAGTGATACACAAATGTTGTCTTTGTTCGTTTGGAATAGACCAAACAAAGTATTTCTCTTATAACATATAGTCCTTTCAGCTGGCAATAATCACATTTTAGCAGTTGAATAATGGCATTTTGTTTACTTAACTTTGTTTTCTGAATTTCATTATACTGTATAATGACAATAAAGGCTTTCTATTCTATTATGTTGACAGAAAAGATGTTAAAATTTGTCAGTTGTTGTTTAATTTATATTTGTATAATTTGTATTTGTATAATTATCATTTAGGTTCAGTAGGATAATTATTATATACATGCATAAACAGATCAAAATATCAAACAAAGGTCGAAACCTATTCACTTAAAATAATTAACAATACACATCTACTAAATATTAAAAACACTATTTCTTGTTTATAGGTTTAGTCCTGGTTAAATTCTGATTTAGACCTAGTTTAATCCTGGTTTACAACTAGCTGGCACTGTCTCGTTTAATTCTATCTCAACTCCGGTTTGGCGATTTGGCAGAGCAAAGTTTGTAAAACCTTTTGTATTTTATTTTACATAAAAATTGAATTGTAGTTGTTGTATTATTATTGGAATAGTTAGATATTTTACGCAACCTATCATTCTTCCAAGAGATACGATCTACATTTTCTCACTCCAACTGCTCATTTCTATTCACCTGTCTTCTCTTGACATTTTCCTCATGTCTTTCAAACATGTCTATGTTAAATACCTCAATCACGGTGCCCTGATTTCCTGAGTTGCCCTCGACTTGTCTCCTCTGTCCCTGGCTGTCCCTCATCATCTGGGTATGCCCCTGGTCTTTTTCCTGTCCCATCCATAAGACCTGCAAAAAATGAACATCTACAAAGTCAACTTATTTCAGTCTTTTAATTTAAAATAAGAATGTTAATGCAGCACATAGTTACCCACAACAAAAGCAGCAAATGTTTACATAAAAACATACATTCAGAATAATTCAGACACGCACCACTGGACATTGCACAATAAATTTAGCCACTACTACGCAAACAATCATTCATATTGCTGACACTTTGTGCTTTTGAAAACTTTATGTATTTAAATTTGAAAATGTCAATGTGTAGATTTTATAAATAGTCTTAGAAACAACATCCATTCTGCCATCACACAAAAACAAAAACATTTTGCATCAGCATTTCATCAGTGCTTCATAAAACATGTTAGGGACTGCTTTGGCAGAAATTGTTATAATTTTACATACATTGCATTAGTCCGAAAGCTGCCATTCAAAAGCCATCAGGCATTCTAGTATGAACCTCACAAACTCACTGTTGGTCAATAGTCAATAGACAGAAATGAAAGGTGCACTCTGAGGACAGCTGGCAGTGTACAAGTTGATATGTAGTGCTCTCACTCTGTCACCATACCCTGATCTAACACTATCACTAAGAGACATACAACAGAAAAGTACAAAACACTACAGGTGAAAAAGAAATAAATAGCACAGAATTAAACACATGAACAGCGACAAATCTTTGGAAACAAAACAAATCAAAAACACTGTATTAAACATTTGCACATTTTGAAGGCATAATTATCTATTTTCTGCAAAGGAAAATAAAATAGAATTCATATATGCTGTCATCATGTGCTCCTCAGAGGGCTGTTTCACAAACTCTTGCATCTGAAAAATGAGGTCTGCTGTTCATACTGTTTCAAATATTTGATTAGTAGTGTTAATAATGCTTACAAATCTTAATACATGTCATGAACCATATTAGAATGACTAAACACACAATCAGCTAACTTACAGTTAGCAGCTTCTGAAGAGCACAGGTATGAGAGCGCTTAACTCTTTAAATATTATCTATATTTGAAGTCAAGTCAAATGTAGAATCAGAATGCTTCAGTTTCACTGACATCTTTACATCTAAACATATTTATGTACAAGCTATCTTTCTGAATATTCACACTACATCAATATACAGTTATACATAGCATAAATACATACACACATCACACTGTGTTAAAGAAAGTACATTCCATCATGTGATGGTGATGAAACAAGAATCCACACAACAAAGAGACTAGTTTTGCCATGTTCAACCTGTCCACATGGGATCAGCCTTCACAGCAGTAGCACAGTACAGGAAGGCTAGAGATGCAGTTAATGCTCTAGAAGTGCAGTTCACAAGCTGAAATAACTCTTGAAACAGGTGAAATCATGAGCTTCAGATGCAGCTGTTTTATTCTTAGTATATTATGTGGTAACCTCCTCAGATTATACTAATCCCTGCCCTTCCATACTGTGCCTGTGTTGTGGAAACTGTATTTAACAAAAGTTCAAACAAAACAAAGGGTGTTTGGCTACGTCAAAAGAACAGGACAACACTGAGTACAGAGGATACTGGAGGGTGTACTGAAGGGTTGTAGAGGAATCATCTCTGTGGTGTGCTTATGTAGGTCCCCTGGTCCTGGGGTCCAGTGTGTAGTGTAGTGTACATGTAGGAGGCTTCTTTCAGAGCATCCCATCCAGGTTCTTCTCAGCACTCTGCTTGTCTTTGCTGCTGTTGCTGTCTGAGGGGTTGTATTTGTTGTGGTAGTCCTTCAGGATGGTCACAACGTCATGGTGACCAAAGTGCACGGCCTCGTCCATAGGAGTGTTTCCCCACCTGGAACAAGTAAAGCACCGATGACCACCTCTGTCCATACTACGGTCCATAATGACAGCAGACATGAGCCAACAGCACACATGGGTGCATTCTGAGGGCCAAGTGGCTCCTTGTTATGTCCATGTTCTATGTAAAGGTGCAGAGACGTACCTGTCTTTGGGCACTGGGTTGACCTTACAGGCCTCGAGCAGGAAGCGCACCACCTCCGCATGACCTGCGACACACGTGCTCACAAAGCTTACATATGCATTTAGCTGACTGCCGTACCATATTTATTCAGTTAATTATAAGATGATATATATCGTAACTACAGCTTATGTAAGTGCAATTTCAACTGTCCATTTTATTCACCATGGCAGCCACAAATGAAAAACAACGTACTACTTATAATACTAATAATCTTGTATTTGAGGTTTGAGTGTGTACCTTCCGCTGCGGCCACATGCAGGGCAGTTCTGGAGTCGTAGTCCCTCTGCTCCATGTCCATGGAGGACAGTGCAAACCTGCACCACCACAAAACATAACACATAACATCACACTGTGCATTAACAACCTGCATTATCTCAACTGATGAAGGCTGGACGTACCTCCTTAGAGCGGACACATCTCCAGTGTAGGCAGCAAACAGCAAATTAATGACAGACTTCACCTGAGGCCAAAGAGGAACATGTTCAATTGTAATACAACATTGTTTTACTTTTGACTATCCCAAATCTTTATCTACACTATACAATTATAAAAAAACATAGTTAAATTTGTTCCATAAATGTGGCTTAATCTCACCCTCTGGTCCCCTCCCTCTCGTCGAGGATCCAGCTTCTTGGCAAAGTGCCTCAGATTGTCATAGTTATGGAAGTTACAAAGAGAAACCAGGTCCTAAAAAAAAAAAAAAAAACTCAGCTTGTAGTGGAACTCAATGTGAACACATTTGAAAAAAAAAAAAAAAAAACATTAAACAGGATCAGCAGAACATTAGAATTTGTGTTCTCCTCCAGTATAGTCTCAAAAAGCCATGAATATGCTGATGAGATTGTTGCAGAAGAGAATTAGTTTTAGCACCAGCTACCAAATCTCAGCCTACTGCACAAGGCCACGACCTGTTAAGATGCTGTAATGTGTACAAATCGTCTTCATAAATATTTTATATAATGAAAGTGTTAATACAGGTTTACACCACACAATATCTTAACAGTGTCTTTACCGTGCAGAACTGGATGCCCCTCACACTGTTGCCAAGTTTGTCCAGAGGGGGAGACCAGCACATGATGCCCATGACGTTTGGAACCACCAGCAGGATACCACCAGCCACTCCGGATTTAGCCGGCAGCCCCACCTGTGAAAGAAGGGTGGATGATGACCTCATATCTCTGAACAGCATGGAGCTGTTCAGAGATACTCAGAGGAAGATACTCACGTGGAAAGCAAACTGCCCTGAGAAGTCGTACATGCCACAGGAGTGCATCAGGCTCAGAGTGTTCCTCACTGCCTCCGGGCTCAACACACGCTCTCCTGTGATTGGACAGAAGCCGCCGTTGGCCAGTGTGGCCGCCATGACACTGGCACTCTCACAAGTCACCTCAATGGAGCACAGCTGAGGGCAAGAAAAGTTAGATATGTGACATAGATACCCTAAAAGACAAATTTGTTTAACCAGTGTGTCAAAGCTTTACCTGGAAGTAGAAGTCCAGAATTGATGTCATGTCTGTGCCCTCTGGAAAACACTACAAAAGGATACTTTTTTAAGTATGCGTAATGGTAAAAGTTTGGCTGTGTTAATTTGATCACTACTTGTGCTTATTCATTTCAGGTAAATAATGCAGTTTGTTACCTTTTTCTCTTTCAGGTAATAGCCGATGGCAAAGTTTCTGTCTCCAGACTCCCGCTCTGACTGGAAACTGAAACACAGGAGCACAGAGGGGGCCTGTTTAAAGGCACTGACTGCACTGTGCACAGAGCTGCTGTGCTGCTCTAACATTCATATAATGTAAGGGGGAAAGGCTAAAACTCACGTAGCATTGCTGAAGCCCACGTACTCATTTCCAGCCAGTTTGTTCATGAAGTTCATAACCTGTAAACGCACACACAAAATGGAACCTCCATCTTTATACAACTCCTTTGTCAAGTTTATACAAACATTTATGAGTCTCACAAATGGTGTGCACTTACATAATCAAACTTCTCTGCATTACTGGCCCCTTGCTGAAAAACAACAACAGAGCAGTGTTAAAGGTAACAGACACAATGTCCTGTCATCATTATACTACTGTATTACCATAAGTACTATAGTACATCTACACCATTACATTTCTACAGACAGAGACTTACATTATCACTATAACAGAGATTTCCAAACAATTACAATTAGATCAACATAAAGACCGTTATTGAACCCATTCATGAGATCAGATGGATTAGAATTAAAGGTGTGCTGGCTGGAGATGAGGAGGTGAAATCAAAATGTTAATTCCCTTAAGAAATCCAAAATAAATAAATCAGAGAGAATCATTTGTCTACTGTTATTTCAGTAGGTGACCTACTCATTAAAACAATGTGGGGGAGATTGGGGCTTAAGATACATTACATACAGTATATTTAACACTCAACTTCTTGCACATTTTTGAATGTAACAAATACCACAAATGATGACTTACATTGTTCATTAATAATAGCATTAAAACATGTAACACATAATTAGAATGGTGTATACTTGTACAGTAGCTGTATATGTGTAACTGATTGGGTTAGAAACATTATATTTAGCCAACACAATGCAGATAGATATAAACCAATTGGGAAAAATGAAGTATGGTATTGGGCCACTTTGAGTTGAGTGTACTGTTTATGTCCATAAACAGTGTTGGAGAATGCGAGTGATTAAAGAGCCAGTGAAGGCTAAAGCTGGTTACAGTCCAGACCAAAGAGGGAAAAGGATTAAAAAAGGAAATTACCAACGTCATTGACCTGTTGATGTGGTCATAATTTCCCACAGATCCTAATGCTGGAAGATATGCAACAACACATCAAACCACACAACGAGCCTTCAAAAGGTACATCAGAAACAGGACAAGGCTTGACTGGAAAAGAGCAGGGGCACATGCACAGAGCCCTGAGGGACACGAGGTTAAATCCCTCATCAAATTAAGAAAAATACTATTACAGAATGATGAAACTTCTCAGAAACCGACTTGAATCAAAAAGTCTATGCAAAATAAAAAGAATACAAAAAGAGTCACCTAGCATGTGCTGACTTTTACTTTAACATCTGCTATACAATGTTAAGTTAATAACGCAAAAATGTTGATATAGCTCTCAGACAGAGGGTCCCAAAGTGGGGGGTCGGGGCCCCCGGAGGTATTGTTGTTCCGATACAATTTTTGGGAGGGATCCGATCCGATACCAATACTTGGCCTTGGTGTACTCGCTGATACCGATACCAGTCTGATACAATAGAGAGAAGAACACTTAGGCTACTTAATTTGTAATATGCAAGAGCAAAAAAATAAATCTTCTAAAAGGCTATTTTTAAAGAAAGGCAAGAGTAAATACAATTTGGAGAATTCAATTATTGGTGAAATACATAATGATCTTGACAGTAAATAGTGCTGATTTAAGCACTTTCACTTTATACCACAGTGTCGATAAAGCCAACAGTGAGGTGTGTAAAAAGAGGCTCATCCTGGAGCACATGGACCATTCTGCAGAGCAAACAAAGTGTGAGTTAGGGCTGTTGCTGCTGTTCTCGAGCTGCACTTTCCCAGTTTACTTTACCAAGTTGAGTGTCCACATTAAAGGCTAAATGAAGGTATCAAAGAGGTAACGCAAATGCCTTTTCTGTTATTATGAGTGTGTCTTAAGTGTCTGCAGAGCCTCCACAGTCTGTTTAACCTGCTCTGAGCATCTGCGAGAGCATTAGCCACCAAGGTAAACAGCAGCTGCTCGCATCTATGGGTCCTCATTCAAAAACCGTGGTATCAGATCAGTGATTTGGTATGAGTACTCGCCGATACTGATACCTGAAAAATATGCGGTATCGGACCTTTTGCCGATACAGGTATCGGAACAACCCTACCCGCGGGTCATGTGGCACTGACCTGGGGCTCATGATGTGAGAAGATATAACAATATATTTTAATGAAATGAGGTCAAATAACACAATAAACCTGATTTTAAATGCTTTGGCTTTGCAGGAGATTATTATAGACACTGATTTTATTTTGGAGGGTGTTGGCTGCATAGTTATTTTGGGGGTCCTGGCCTGAACGGTTTGGGAACCCTTGCTCTAAAACAATGAGCTAACTCAAGCATAAACTAAAGTTTTAATATACAATACAAGACGTAATGCAATCATGGTAGATAGTACATAGTCAGAACTATAGTACATAGTAATAACCAAATCCTTTCAGCAGGTGGTGCTGTTGTGTTTGAGCGTATTAAGAGAAGGGCTCTGAAGGGCATGCAGGACACTGTGGTGCAGGTAGCAGAGCAGTTTGCCTCATAATCTGTAAATGTGATGTATTTGACCGGATGTCACCTCCACCCACACGCAGCACTCAGCCCCACAAATCCCCTCACATGATTATCTATGGACATTAATCTGCTACATTCACTAATCTGCATCATGCAACTTTGATTCACTACCAAGTTTTTTTCTGTGTTACCATGCGGCACATATTCTGCACCAATATTATTCTGTGCTTTACTCTCAACAGTCACAAAGGATTCTTTAGGCTTTAGTTGTAACTCTTTTGTACTAGATTTAAAGTAAACATACCTTTATGAGGGAGGTGCAGACAATAGCTCCAGCATTAACCATTGGATTGTGCGGTTTATCTGTGAAGCACAAAAGAAGCAGAACATTTAGATTCATATAACTAATGATCTCCCTCCAAGACTCCTGTAATGAAATAAAAACAGGTGAATCACTCACCATCTTCATTGAGGAAGAGCTTGTTGAAGCGCAGACCACTGGGTTCTTTGCCGATGAAGCGGTGGACATACTCTGTGCCATGGTCATGGACAGCGATGGCATATTTCAGAGGTTTCACACATGACTGAAGACAGAAGGGAACTTTGGTATCACCAACTGTGTGCCTAAATGACAGACATACAGTTTGATGTAGTATTAAACAATAGAAACAATTCAATGTCTATGACAAACATTTTCATGCAAACACACGTGTAGAAATGTACTTAATTTATTTGCAGTTGTTCCTCATAAAATACCATATGGAGGCACCATCAGACCGTCAGAGGTTTGTTTCTTAACTACATTGTCAATTCAGCTCAACTAAAACAGGCCAGTGAGACGAGGACCACTTGGATACACTACGCTAGGCTGTTGGCAAACTATTCTTCTGAGAGAACAGAACCCTCTGGACTTAAGGAGAGCTAAAGATCTGAGTATACCTCTGTCCATCCACAGTGCATAGAGCCACAGCCCACAGGTCTGGACTGAAGCGGGCCAGCTGGGGAATGTAATCTGCTACCTGAGGGTAGATACACAGAGTGAGGCACAGGAGACACAAGAGCGTGTGTTATACCAGCAGTCTGAGTCTGACCTGTCCTCCTGACAGATTCTTGGCGTTGTCGTACAGCTCATCGATGTGAGCACAGAAAGGCTGGAAGTCTGGAATGACAAACTTCTTCCTAAAGGCTTGGGTCAGCAGAACTATGTTGCTCTGCACACATCTACAACAAGAAACATCATGTATGCAATCAGATTAGGGATGATTAACATCACCAACATGGCGATTTCAGAATGATACTTAACTCACACAAGCCTAATGTGTTATGTATTATTGTTAGGCCCTAGTTAAATGTGAGAACCACCAGTTGCCTAAGTTCTGCTATGCAGCTGGTACATTCCCAAAGGCAATGGGAGGCTGACACATGATGATGATATCAATGCCTAATCTGAAGTTACAGAAAGAGTTGGCAGTTAGTGTGTTGGCAGAATGTATGAAGCCTCTAATCCTTGGGAGTGCCAGTGGGTCACATGACCAGCTCTATAAATAGTGCAGGAGCGGATGTGATGGAGCGCAGCCAGACGCAGCGCTGAGGGAACATTTGTTTTACACAGACATGTCACTGCTGTTCACATGGAGCCAAACTGTCATGGACATGAAAAGTAATGCTCAAGATGATTTTTATATTTTAATAAACATTCACATTTCACAACTGTTCAGATTCTCTGTGTCAAATGTACAAAAGTCCACCAGTTGTGAAAACAAAAAGGGAGAGGTGAAGTGAACATACTTCTTGAAGAGGTGACGGTCCAAAGCTCCATCTGATGTGGTTTTCACAGTCACCTTGAGCATTTCCATACATTCTTTGAGTCGGGGGTCTCCAGTCCTCAGCCCAGTGGATTTAAGAGCCTGTAAAAAGACACAGTTATGAACCAGTGTGCTCTCATGTCAGACACACATCAATAAAACATTGTGTGACAATAAGAAGAGAAGATCTACTCCATGTCATAGAGCATGTCAACATTAACAAACATGTCACAACTGGGTCACGATAACAAATTTTGAAATACAATATATTGCTGAAGTAAATATATTCACGATAATATTGGAACTAATTTATGCTACTGACACAATAACCACAGAGGAGATTTATACCACAAAAACTAATCAATTAAATCTTAAAATCTTATCGTATTCCCAATCGTGCACGCGATAAATATTGACTCCCCTAAAATTTCGTATATTAAAAGATAACTCAATATAGTAATTATCATGACAGCCCTACAGGGCCATGTACTTGTCTGCAGACTCACGGTGGTGAACTTGTGCGCTGGGATCTTCTCTTGTCCCTCTGCGATGGTGTAGAAGAGCAGGTCCTCCAGGCTGGGCAGGATGCCTGCCTTCCTTCTCCTGCAGCACACACACACATACACAGGGGGGCATGAGTGAGACTGAGAGGACACAGAAAACAGCATCAAAGAAAAGTCCTCAGGAAGGGCTGAGTCACTGTTAGAAGAACACACTTACACTGGCCCACAGCTGCTGTAACTATGCTGATATAATAATAGATTTAACTGCTTCACATGTATGGGTGATGGATTAGTACAGCTCAAATTCAATTATACATTTCTTTTTTTCTCTTACTTGGATTTTGGGATTGGTGTTTTTTATAAGATGGTTCTCAACATTTTTACAAATTCTGACAGTGGACCATTGTTATATTTAATGCTTACTCAGAATTCCAGACAGAAGCATATTAGTACTCATTAAAATCTTAGTATAGTGGAAACTGTGAAGTACAATGAGTCAAACCATAATTACACAATAGAGTGAGGTGCAGTCCAATTCAAATGTGTAATGATCTGTCAGCTGACCCTGTGTGTGAGGTCAACACTATTCCTGTGTCAGATTCTTCAGGCTGGAATTCTCAGCAGCTTCACTCTGAGCTGTCTTCAGGAGGTTAGTGCTCTGGACGCTCATGGAGCCGATTGGCTGTTAGAAGAGAGCTGTGTGCTTACACTCAAACTTACCTGCATTGCATCGTGGGACAGGACGCTATGTAAATCTGTAACCAAGCTCTAAGGTTCAAGACCATTTCTACAGTAATTACAGGCTTGTTTAATGAATTAAGACGGAGCAGGTCCCACTCTGGAAATGAAGACATGAGTGAGTATGTAGCCTCCAGCTCCATCAGAATCTCACACTGGCATAAAGGCTCCTGTGCCCTTTTAAAGTGGCACAGTTACATGCTGCCAGGGAAAACATGGTGACAACACAACCATGCATTCTATGGACACATGAGACAGGACTCTAGAGGCAGCACACGCACATGCAGTTTGACACATCCCAAAGCTGTCCCATGCTTGTATCTATGTAGCTGAATTTATTTCTGGTTTTGCTATGAAGTCCTGCAAGTTTCAGTGGAGTGTTTCTGATAGGAGCTGTGGGCTGGGACAGGAGGTGCAGCCGCTGGTGAGGGAGGCAGAGGGTCAAAGGTTAAAGGTGCAGGTGAAGCAGAGGCTCTGGAGAGACAGCTCAGCATAGTCAGGGAGGTGTCAGCGCTACTTCTACTGGAGACATCTACGGCACTACAGAGAAATCAAAACATACTTACAAAGGCAAAGCATAGCAGACCACAACAGGAAGAGAACACAGGAAAAAACGCACATTAGAAAGAGGTACACACTTGGCTCCATACAAGCAGGCTCTAGCAGGGCTCAGTGCTCCTGCAAATCATCACAAGGGTGCATTATTGCATGCATATCAGTGTATAAACATTTTATTACAAAATTACAAAAAATATCATTTTTATTATCAGTATTTTCAATATGTACCTGAAAATTTTATTTTCCATGAAAAGCGCCTCATAAGACATCATTTTAACTTAATTTGGGAAAAGGGGAGATGTGCACGGCAAGACTTCTGACACTGAAGTTGGACAAATGCTATCCACTGTAGTTTACTGGATAGCTTTCTCTCTGTACTTTACTAGTTTATGCTTCAAGTCATGTTACTGAAGATATTTGTATATTTACATTTTCATATTGTGGCATAAGTTATCTGATATATGGCTCAGCCTTAATAATGAGAAATACAGAATGATCATTATTTTAGTACTCGTGTACCGCTGTAGTTGATGGAGAGACAGATGGCTGACTGTATGTACAGCAGCTGCACAACACTAGACTGACCTCTTCCAGAGTCACTCACAGAAACACCTGTGGCTTTAGCTCAATAGTGACAGGAACAACATCTGGTACAGTGCTATGACTCAGCCGGGCTCATTCTGAGGACCTCTAGACCTTCTATATGGAACTCCATACAACTCAATCAACTTTCATTTGGCCAAACTCTTTTTCTACTATTTTCCTATTTAAAATATTTTTCATTTTCAGGAACATGCCATATGGCTATATAACAACACTTCACTAGAACTCAACTGATGTTATAGTTATGTTATTATTGTGTGTGTATTGTGCTGCCTGTCCCAATCCCAGTTTCCTTCAGGATAGTAAGGTATTTCTAAATGAATCTAATCTAAATGACTATGCAAATGAACCATACTATACTATCACTAATACCACATATAATACCACATGTAATACTACATATAATACCACATAATACCACATGTAATAGCACATGCTTACTGCTTACTTTGATGTGTAGTTATGATAATGTCATCAGTGGTGTGAAAAAGATTGTGCTGACATGTGTTCTGGCTGAAAGTGTGTGAAGTGCTGAGTTTCCAGATGTCAGGAGCGTAGCACATCCTGCGGGGATGTGGAGCTGCGGTGATAGAGCTTTGCCTGTTCTCTGACTCATGAGCTGGGGGCTGTGCAGAGGCTGGCACTGTGCCAGCACGTTTTCATGTGGAATCAGGACAAACTGCAGTGGGAGGAGGACTGAGATTTGAGTGTTATCAGGTCTAAAAGAAAGTCTTATTAAGCAGAACGCAGCCCCCACACCTCTTGCAGACACTGGGCTCCTCATCACAGCAGGACTACTGCACACAGCTACACTCATACAGTTATTACAGTGTCCAAGTGAATGTGAAGACAGCACTGTCTGTTGGCACAAAAACAGCACTCAGAGGTTAAAGGCTTCATTGTGAAAAATGCATCAGCAAAGACACTTTCCAGTGTCAACTTAAAACTGTGTGGCAAGACCACTACAGAGCTGATCCAATCGTCTCTTTGCACAAATCACATGACCTGTCCAGTCTATGGATGAGAGGGACAGAGTTGTGTTCGTGAGTTTCTTCCTCTCATTGATCCTGGG